ACCTCGATCTAACCTGCTAACCCTTGAACCACTATCTTAACCGGTTTAGTATCCGGTCATATTTTTTGTTCTTTGCATAAAATCTTGATTCTCACATTTGGAAAACCAATTCACATATTGAAAGAAGTTTAATTATTAAAATTAATTGATAGGCTTTAAATTTATTTAAAATTATCTGAATTTTCCAAAATTAGCCCTTATTTAAAAACCCACCAATTACATTAATTTCTTTCCCCATCTTAAGGATCCCTCTCAATAATCCATTAATTTCTCACCCCACCTTAATTATGTTTTTCACGCTTATCTTAAAATAGTTATTTATGTTCTCTAGAATCTAAAGCCCTCAATCCCTTTTCAATTAGTAAAGTTTTTTTTCAAATAAAAATTTTCAATCCCTAAAGTTGGTTCCCGTGCCCCAAAACTTATTTAGGGAACCAAAACCAATGGTAGTAGTGATATACATGGCTACCACTATTAGAAAAGAGAAAAAGTATTTTGGTCAAAAAAGAAAAGAGAAAAAGTATATTGGAAAATATGGCGTCGTTAAACATGATTTATAAGAAAATAAGGGTAAATATTTTTTTTTTAAATCATTTGATGCTTCATATATTTTCCAAAGTGACTTGTATAAAAACATGCAACAACAAAAGTTTGCAGAAATGTAATTAGAAAAAGAAATTGAGGGAGCAGTAGTCTTTAGATTAAAGGAGCACCAAGAAAAAACTAATTTTAGTTAAAAAAAATTGTAATTGTATCTTCAAATTAGTTAAAAGCATAAAATAATGTGACTTTCTATAAATTATATATATAATAAAAATATTTTAACCTAAAATCAAACGTGCTTTTCATGCAATATTACACAAAATATAGTCATGTCTTGCACAACGTAAATGAGCTGCTCTATTTTGAACTTGCAAATAAAACTTATCACTCATTTTATATTTTATAACAAATAACAAAACATATTATTCTTAAATTATGAATTTTATGTCTCATTTATGATACTCCATCAAATCCATGTGAAATTAATTTTTTTTAAAAAAAATAGTTGCATGTATATTTGACATTAACATTGATTCCAAGCAATAACTGGGGACTGGCCAAGGGCTATTAGATGCAATTTCTCCCGATCTTTTATTTGTTCGACAGAGAATAGATGCCACACCAGCTCTTCGTTAACCATCTGGACGAGACTGAGCAGGAAATTAGCTACTCCCTACGTCTTTTATTATAAGTAATATAAGATTCTATTACGTAGATCAAAAAATTAATTAAAAACAATAAACAGGTAAAAGTTAGAAGTTTTTTTTTTTTAAAATACTCTTATTTAGGAAAAAAAGTATAAGAAAGAGAATAAAAAAATTATTATAATAAACATAGTTATGATAAAGTGAGAATGTGTGATGGAGAAATGATAGTATAAGAAATAAAACAATAAATTTATTGAATATCAAAATAAGTAATTAATAGGGGCAAAATAAAAAATTTGTCACAAAAATTTAAAAATAAATTGTAAATATTGTTTATATTTAAAAATAAGAAGGGATAATAGTTGTTATTTATAAAAAAAAAAAAGAAGGATGGAGTACGTTTTTACGAGGAATTAGGCCACATGCGTGGTCGAGGTTTACGGGGTTGGGGAGCAGATTCCCTCAGCAGCATTTTTTCTCTGTTAGTTTATTAAATCGTAGCCGTCTAATTTTGTTGCTTCTTCAAAACGCACTGAACCCTCAACTGCGAACATGACGTCGATCTTCTGCAAATTTTATCAGATACAAAATAACCAAAGGAAAATTTTACAAAAAGTAAATTACTTTCATGGGTTAAGTACTATTCCAGTTAAAATCGACATTTTCCCTGTTTGCAGTTGACTCTGTCCTAAGAGAAATCTGAAATGAGATAGATCGATGGGGCCCAACATGTAATATTTGCGGTGTTTGAATTCAATTCTTGCATTATATTAACAATTATACATCAAGCCTGTACATGCTCGTTGCTCAAGATAGCGTGTATAACCGTAGTACCTTCGGTCTTTGATAACAAACATTATGTTTAACTTTTATTTTGATATTGAATATAAAATCCCAATTCATTTTGTCTTTTATATTTATATGTGTTTTTTCAAGATAACTCTTCTAATAATAGTAGTTCTAGGCAATACAGTTGATTAGTAAAGATATCTTAGGAAAGATAATACCTATTTGTTACAAATAACTAATTTAACTTCTTTCCTTAATCTCCTCAAATTAGTCAACTAGTTTTTATAGTTCTTATAATTAGGATCAAAGGTAGTACTTCTCTGGTCCTTAATATAGGATCTAATTGTTGAGTTGGTTTTGATATTAAATATAAGACCCATTTTTCATATTTATCAATTTTTTCTAAATTAGCCTTATGGATATTTCCTCAACTATAATCAAGTAGAATATGGAGAGGAACATTATGACAGATAATTATAGTGTTTTAGAAAAATGTGTCACATTTTTTATAATTAACAAACTTACCTAACTTCATTAATATAATCAAATTAATTAAATGAGTCTTATATTAAAGACTGGAGGAGTATATAGATATAACGAGAGGAAAGAACAAATTCCAAATCATCAACATGGTCCTCTATATATGTGTGTGTGTGTGTGAAGAATAATAGTCTTGCACCATAAAACCCATAACTGTTTACACGTACCAAACTATCATGAAATTTTTTAATAACGAATTCACGACGGGAACAAAAGGGAGATGGAGTTCATGGACACAAGCTTCATTTCAATTCATAAAACAATAAGGAAGATAGGTTACAGAGCGTTCATGTTATGTCTATGCTGGTGAGTCAAGAAAATGGATTGTCGCCTTTTTATTGACTTTGGGTCCTTCAGAATCAGAAGTTAAGAACTTTGCCTGCAGGAAAATTTGATCTGGAATTTTGCAAGCATCAAGAATTAAGTCCAACTGAAAACATGACATTCTTCTTTTCCATTCTTCCATTCAACCCTCCCTCCAATATTCTTATGGGCTTTTAGTGAATTCATGTTGACGGGATTTACGTGCCCCCATAAAAAGCCAGCATGTCATGCCAATATTTTATTATAAAAATAACCATCTTTTTAATACTACCTCCAGTACTATATATAAACTCTAGTTGACTAATTTGAGTATATTAAGCAAAGAAATTATGTTAGTTACTTATAATAAATAAGTGTTGTTTTTTCTAAAATATCCTTACTAATAAAGTGTATTGGTTAAAACTATCATTGTTAAAGGGATTATCTTAAAAAAAAATATAAACATGAGAGACAAAATAGATTGAGATTTTATATTTAAAACCAAAATAGAAGTCAAACAACGTCTTATATTAAGGAGGTAGTAATATGTAAACTTAGGGAAGTCTCACCAATATGACCCTACTTCAACCAAAATGCTGTGGTTAACATGGCTCAAAGCTAAATTTGCCAACGTGCCTCTTGCAGCTTCTTCAGTTTTACATCCTCGCCTTCAAGGTACCTAATAATTAATGGCAGGAAATCACTTTTTGCACGTTTAATGAGGAGCTTCTCATCCACAGATAAATTCCACAGTGCACTCATACCCTGCTCCTTTACCTGTGGAAATGACGTCCACATATTCCTCAATAATCTACAGCAAGAAATATGCATAAATGCAAGTGGCAATATACCTGTTCCTATACCTCAGGAACCGAGGAAGACTGCCTCGGCAGTGTCTTTATCTCTTCTGTTGCTCTGCTCTCTGACTGAACTCATGTATAGATTGACTGAAGTTAGAGATCGCAAAAGGCCTGCAACTGCTTCACATGCTTAAACTTGAATTTGATCTGAGGAGGTGAACGGAAGAGCACGAGATGCCGTGTTTCGAGTGACGACGTGCGAGACGGAGAATATGAAGCCAGAGAGGGCTGTGAAGGAGAACGGAATGCCGCGAGTGCGAGGGAGAGCAGATCGTCGGGGTTCAAATGGGCTTTGAACGGACGGCTTATAATATATTGGACGGTGGAGAAAAAATTTTAAAAGCTATATGATGTCATGGATGTGCATTTTTGTGACCTCTGAGATTGATTGGGCGGATATGATTTAGAGCTTACCGCGAGAAATGGCCGCCGGGGGATCCGACCCCCGTTGACCCCGAGGTCAGAGAGAAACGGAGCGGGACCTCTGTGCTAAGGTTTCCGTCATTTTCGTCCATTTAGATGAAACGAAAAAAGTTTCAGTTAAAAAAAAAAATTTCCAGTTTTCTTCAATCCAACCGAGCCAGTGGTCCTTGCAATTTTGTTCTTGTGGCGCTATATCTGTGCCTCCATTGCTGTGGCCGAGAGCCCAGTAATCATTAAAAGAGAAAAACCTCAAATGAGTTTTTTTAACCCATTCAATCAATTGAAAGCGCCACTTAGGTCTAACGTGGTTCTAAAATGGATTTTGCGATCACCGTTCTTCTCTCTATGGCGTTCCTTGGCTAATGTTCTGCTTCAAATGTGCTTTCCTGCAAGCTTCCTTTACTTGAATCATGTAGCAGAAGAAACTGAGCCACAGATGAAGAACGAAAGCAGGCAAGGAAAGGACAAGAAACACATTTATGGGAACGTAAGCGAGGGACCTCCATGGTTTCTTAACCCAGCAACGGGGAATCGCAGCTCGAATATGAAAAATGACGAAGCGAGGATGAGATCTGGGATGAGGTTGCATTGGAGCAGTCCGGTATCTTGCCGTCGCTGGAGGAGACGATGGCGACGTCCTGAGACATCTTGAGTTCTGCTTCTGTGCCGGCCGTAGGGCGAATGAATGCCGACCGGAATAAAATTGTAAAGACGGCTCAGCTGGGAAAAAAAACTGCCAAAAATGTTTTAATGAAACGATGTCGTTTCATCTAAATGTACCGGGACCTCAGCGGAGAGGTTCCGCTCCGAGAGCGATAAAGCTCGACCCGAGAAAAAGTCCCCTGAAGAGCCAATGCGGCATCTTCGCCGGAATCCGAAGCCGGTGAGGCAGAGGCATCTTCTACAAAATTTCCATGCGCTTTCGATATTCCACGCGTCAAGGCATCGGATCCCCAAACACACCCGCATACAATTAGACTTGTCATTTGCTAGTAATTTGGTGAAGAATCACGTTCGTATAAGCTGGTCTCTACCTGTAGGAGTAAATTTCCTTATCTAACAGCTTGTAGTAGCTATCCTGACCATGGCGCTTCAACTTGCAGCACCATCTTCTGGCCTTACCAGCGAAACAAAGTATCGATATGATGTGTTCCTGAGTTTCAGAGGCGAAGATACTCGCCACTCCTTCACTGTGATTCTCTACAATGCCTTGCGCCGGAAGGGAGTCAATGCCTTCATTGATGACAAGAAGCTTGGGAAAGGGAAACGAATATCACCTGCGCTTCTCAAGGCCATCGAAAAATCCAGGATTTCGATCATTGTCTTCTCTAGGAACTACGCTACTTCCTCATGGTGCCTGGATGAACTTGACCACATCATTCAGTGTAAGAAGAAGAAGAACCAGCTGGTTATGCCGATTTTTTATAAGGTGAATCCGATGGATGTACAATATCAGACAAATAGCTTTGGGGAAGCCATGGCTGCCCATGAAAATAGGTTCAGAAATGATCTGGAGAAAGTGCGCAAATGGAGGTCTGCTTTGTCTGAAGCTGCTAGTTTGTCATCGGCATGGCTTTTTGAAGATGGGTAGGTTTTTATATGTTATTTTTCTAATTGATTCTTGACTTGACTCCGTTGTTGACATGATATACCCCGCTATACAAGATTTTTGACATTTTTAACGAAGATCATTCTTACAGTTCAAATGTTCATGTCTCCGTCAATTAGTAGTAGTGTAGAAGGTATGGTATTCACCAGAGTATCTAGTGTTATTAAAAGCTTCACAAGCTTTGTTTTATGGCTAGTTCTGTCATGTATATTTTGCACAAAGAAGGCACGTTGTTCTAATTTTCCCCTCGATTATCTCTTCAGTACTTGAAAGTCTCATTTTCCATGTATTGAAATAATACGAAAAATCTTTGCAAGAGCTAATAAATCTAAGATCATCTTTGGAGGTTCAAAATGGGACTAAAAAAAGTAGAAAAGATATGACGAATGAGGAACAAATGGCATTTTGCATGAGTTGCCTTCGTAGTCAGAAGAATTTGCAATTTTGCAGAAATGAATCTGGATTTATTGAAAGGATTGTTGAAGATGCATATACTGTGCTACCTCCAAAACGCCTACATAGCACTGGTCACATTGTTGGACTTGAGTCCTGCATAGAAGAAGTGATATCACTTCTGGATCAATCTGATGATGGAGTTTGTATGCTGGGGATTTATGGAACTGGTGGTGTTGGCAAAACAACTCTTGCCAAGGCTTTGTATAATTTAATCTTCCACCAATATGAAGGTGCCTGTTTTCTATTTGATGTAACAGACGCTTCAAAGCAGTACCGAGGCATGGTTCATCTCCAACAGACACTTCTATCAGAGATTCTTGAGGAAAGGATCAAGTTGGGCAGTGTTGATGAAGGAATATCTAAAATGAAACACAGGCTCTCTCACAAAAGAGTTCTTTTGGTTCTTGATGATGTTGATGAGCTAGAACACCTAGAAAAACTCGCAGGAAGCTCTGATTGGTTTGGTTCTGGAAGCAAGGTCATCATAACCACAAGAAATAAGCAATTACTAATTGCACATCGTGTTGAAACAGCTTATGAAATGAAGAAGCTAAATGATCATGATGCTTTGGAACTCTTTTGTTGGCATGCCTTCCATACGAGCAAACCTCCAAAATGTTATCAAGATATGTCTAGTCGTTTAATAGGTTACGCACAGGGTCTTCCTTTGGCTTTAAGGGTAATAGGTTCCAATTTGGCTCAAAAGAACTTAGAAGAATGGAGAATTACACTTGAACAGTATGAAAGAATTCCAGAAAAAACAGTTCATGAGGTGCTAAAGATAAGCTATGATTGCTTACAGGATACTGCTAAGAGTATTTTCTTAGATATTGCTTGTTTCTTCAAGAATAGTATGGAATATATTGAAGAAATACAAGAAGCTTATAATTATGGGGCAAGGTTTTTTATTGAAGTGCTTGTTGATAAATCTCTTATAACTGTCAGTAATAATGGCCGGTTTTGGATGCATGATCTGATACAAAAAATGGGTAGAGAGATTGTTAGGCAAGAGGCACCATCAAATCTAGGTAAGCGCAGTAGACTATGGTATTACGGGGATGTTCTGAGAGTATTGCATGAAAATTTGGTAAGAATTTAAATCGTTTTTGTTTCCTCATATACGTTAAATGGATTGTGCCTCTTTGGTAATGTCTAATTTTATTACTTGCATTATAGGGAAGTGGTAATATTGAAGGAATAATGCTCGATCCACCTCAACAAGAAGAAGTGGAGTGGAATGGTACTGCCTTTAAGAATATGAGTAATCTTAGAATTCTTATTGTTCGAAATGCCAAGTTTTCTATGGGTGCTAAATATTTTCCAAGTAGTTTAAGATTGCTTGACTGGGATGGTTACCCTTCTATGACTCTACCACCAGATTTTTACCCTAAAAATCTAGTTTGCTTCAAGTTATGTGGTAGTCATTTCAGACTGGGAGAGACATTCAAGGTGATTTCCTCCCCCTAATCTGAATTTTTTTTTTTTTTGGTTGAATTCTTCATAGTTTTCCCCTAATCAAGAATAAAATGCTCCTATTTCCTTTTATTTTTTTCTTATTATACTTAGACCTCTCGTGTATATCTTAAATTTGTGCAAATCTCCTTTGTATGTTTTAAATAATTAAGCTACATACTATTCAATGAATATTGATATAATCAGTTTTCTGTTGCTTTTTAAAGGGCCCAAAAGAATCTTTCTTTACTTTTACAGTGTATTAATGTGATTTTTCCCCCCAGAGAAAAAGACAATCTATTGCTGCATATTTTGATACAAAAAACATAAGAGAGCATTTAGGAATATTTTGGAGTTTTGAATTTATAACGTAGAGTTAACCATGGACTTTTAGAAATCATGTTAGACATTTTAAAATTAGTTTGCTTTGGGGGATTTGTTTTCAAAATGCGAAAGAGACTTTTCTGGATTTTAGAAATATAGGAGAGGTCTGTATAACACTAGACAAATAACGGGGCATTGTAATATTTTACTAAAAAAGCAATATGACTTGACAATCACTGTTAACTAATTATTTAATTTTTATTTTGCAGAGATTTGAGCATGTAACATATATGGATTTCTCTCGTTGTGAATCCATAATTGAAATACCTGACATGTCTCAATTTCAGAATTTAAAAAAATTAATGTTTAATGAGTGTAAGAATTTGATCAAGGTTCATGATTCTGTGGGATCTCTCTCTAAGCTGGTTGAATTAGACGTTAGTGGTTGTCCCAAACTTAGAAGCTTTCCACGTGAAATCAATATGGCATCGCTTGTATCCTTCCAACTAAGTTACTGTAAGAATCTTGACTACTTTCCAAATATAGTAGGAAAGATGGATGCACTGAGGGATATTTTTGCAGTGGACACGGCAATTAAAGAACTCCCGCATTCCATTGGAAATCTTTCAGGGCTTCAAATCTTTGATATGAGCTCCTGCAAAAGTCTTAGGGAGCTTCCAAATAGCTTATTCTTGTTGCAAAGTCTTAGCTGGCTTGAGCTGGGTGACACTCGAAGCTGCTGCAAAAAATCAATAAAGAAATTAGAGCAACAAAGCCAGCAAGTGAATAGCTGAACCAACTTAGAGGTCTTGAATCTTGAAAATTGCCATCTACCGGATGAAGATCTTCACCTTACTCTGAACTGTTTTCAGAACTTGGAGACTTTGGTTCTATCTGGGAATGATTTTGTATCACTTCCTAAGTGCATTAAAGAGTGTGCAAATTTGTTAAATCTGGAAGTGAATAACTGCAAGCATCTAAGAGACATACCAGAGCTTCCGTTGAAGTTGGAGATGATAAAGGCAGAGAATTGCACATCATTAACGGCAGAGTCATTAAGTCGTTTATGGTCTCAGGTTTTTCTCCTTATTTTTATATATTATTTTCTCTTGTCCTGACAGTTGAGTGATTCCCTTTTTTTTGTTTTTGCATGTTCAAACTGCCTTGACTTTTGGGAGAAAAATACTTTTTTTCAATTTAGTTTTCCTTTCTTTAATACTTTTAGTATTGTCTTTCCAACTTGTCTTCTATCTCTATCCTCAAATTAATGAACAAGCCCGTAGACTGCTAAGCTGAACACTTTGCTTCCATAGTACAATTTAAGTCACAATCACATCTGGCACCCACTTAATCCTCACAAGATATTAAAATCACGGGCGAGTATGTGAGCTCTAAAGTTATAGAACTTATGAAATTCTCTTAATATATTCTTTCAAGTCTGAAAAATGTCTAGTCTCTGATGCTTTGGTACTTCAGGCAATGAAGGAGATCAATGGCCTTGAAGTCCGTATGCCTGCATCATTGTTTCCAGAATGGTTTGACAATTGCTGTAAAGGAGGGAGGTTGTCTTTTCATGCGCGTGGGAGCTTCCCTGTTGTTGCCTTGGCATTTGAGTTTGAAAAAGTGAATACAAATGCGAGATCAAAGAATTTCTGTGTTTGTGTAAATATCAAATCTTGTAAAATAGAAAAGAAGATTTTAAGTCAAATGGTTTATGGTGGTAGAGAGGGTCATGTGGTTTTATTTGATTCAAGAAGGGCTTTTGAGAGAGAAGAGTGGAAGAGCCTTAACAGGTTTTTGAAAGAGGATTGGAATTATGTGGAAATTGAAGCCATATGTGACCCACCAGAATTGTCCATAATTAACTGTGGAGTTTATGTCTACAAACAGCAGACAAACATGGAGAATGTCCAGTTCAAGTCTTCTCTGCTTTTCATGAATGCTCCAAGAACTTCACTGAAACGAAGAACAACAGCTTCTCCTAGTGAACCAGCCAAGAAGTTCAACCAAGAATTTTATGAGGAAGCTTAAGGCAACTGATAAGGTAAAACACATTAACACAGAGAAGAACAAGGCGTGCCTCTACTTCCTACTAACATTGCTGTTTGAAGTTTTTGGTTTTGCTCATGACCAAGTTTATTGTTTTGATGTATTGCAGAAGAATTAAACACATCACATTTCTCATTTGGGTAACAACATAATGATGGTGGCTCCAATATGTGAGTATGTTTGAGATTTTTGTATTATTAGCTATAAAATCTTAATCACCAACAAATTATTATTTAACTGAAAAAAATGTGGAGATTGCTTCGGAAACATGATTATTAATTTCAATAGTGCAAATCTTTTTTGAAGTGTCTCTGTTTTATGGTTCCTTTTTTAACTAATAAATTAGTAAGATATCTTCACTAAATCAAAGTAATGGTATTTATTGTATTTCTTTTTGTCAATTATATATGCTATCTGTTACATAGTTTATAATTTATTATATGTTTTTACAAGTAGTGTATTCATTGAGGCTTTGGGAGTGTTAGTACTTAACCTAGGAAAACGTCAATATATTTCTAAAACCTATATGAAGTCCAGCTGTTTGAATTAATGGCTTCTCTCTCAAGATCGTTGTTCATAAACCATACCAACTTCTGCCGCATCATCATGCTTCCTTCTTCATTATTAACTTCGCAATTATCAATGTCATTTTCAAAACTTTTGCCTCATCTGTTGACTTCCCAATTATCACTATCCTTACCACGTCCATCTTGGCATTTCTTTCTAGAATCTCTCTACTGATTACTGACTGAGTAATCTCCTCTGCAGTGATCCCGAGATGGTAAATTTTCTCCTGCTGGTTCATTATGTTGGAGATTGACCTCATTCTGAGATATTATTTCAAAACTTGCTCTGAAAAGTTGAAGAATTTGGTGATTATGAGTGACTTGTACTGCTATCGTAGAAGTTTGCCCTTTACACTTCAACATTGTCTTCGTCGATTATGTATGCAATACATAACAATTGTTGTTGGCTGATATGGATATTTTAAAATTCCATGAAAATTTTAATTATCAGTTGGTTTTTTTTCCCCCCCTAATTTTTACCACAAAAATTCCCTAGTCATGAAGACGTTAGAAACATTACTGTGCTTCAAGTCTTTCAGTCACCATGGTGTATATTGGTTGGGAAGAAAACTTCCTAGTTGCATTGGAAGCGAAAGAAGGCCATACAAAAGAATCTTCTGAAGCCTCTTGGGTGAATTGGAAGAAAAAAGGAACGATTATGCTGCAACATTTTTCCAACACCTCGTACTCCAGAATAATTCTAGGAGTTATTTCTTTTTTGTCTTGGAGTAACATTTTTAATGTCTTATATGTGTTGTTGGTATTTATTTCTGTAAAGCTTTTAAGTGCTTCTTCTTCTTCTTCTTCCGGTTTTTTTTTTTGGGGACAAGCTTTTAATTGCTGCTGTGTAGGTTGTACATATTCCTTGACCCCAAAAAAAAAAAAAGGTTGTACATATTCCATTTATTAATTTGTGATTTATTTTTTATTCTAATATTAGGACATGTGTTGGAATTTGGACTTCTATGGGTATCAGAAATACTCCATGAATGTAATCCTTCGTTCACTCATCACTGCAACCTTTGGAGGTAATGATGTAGTTTAAATTATTGAATGTTTATTTCTGTATTTCAGTAATTGATATAGGGATATTGATGGTATTGTTCCTTATTAATATTTTTTCGGTTCTTAATGTAAGACCTAATTAACTAATTAGAGCAGATTAAGGATGTTAATTAAATTAGTTAATATGATATGTTTTTTCTAAACAACCTAATCATATTCTTTAATTCCCTCCCTCCCTCTGCAACTTGATTATTGTTGAGAGAATATCGATTGGGTTAATTTTGAAAAAATTGATAAACATGTGAAATAGGTCTTATATATAGGACCAATATCAACTCTTAAATTAAGTCCTACCTTAAGGACCAGAGGAGTACTTTATATTGGAATTGGTGTTTTTTGATACATTACCTATAATTGGTGTTTAGTGTATTGATTGTTGTGTTTTTTATGCAAGATTAATGATATGTTAATGGACCTGGGGCTAAGCAAATTCCAGATAGTCATGGATGTGGTTGTTAGGTGATTCCACTTTATGAGGGTAAGCAATATACTCTTAATTGCTTTATTTTTTAATTATTTTTTCTACTTTTGAATGATTTTGATTTGATATACAGAGATTTTGTAGTCTGAAAATTTCTCACTCCCTCAAATCTTTAATATAAGTCACTTTTAATTATCTTACACACATTAAGAAAGAGTCAAAAGTTGGTTGCATCCCTAAATTTGTCAAAAAGTTCTAGAAGCTTCCAACATTGCCCTTATCAGGTACAATAAATCTCAAAGATTGGGTATATTTCCTTGGATAAGGCATATTTCTCAACGCCTTATCTCCTCATAAAACTCATGAAATAGAACAACCTAGTCAAGTCAACACTTCTTAATTGCAGAACCAGCCACTGGCATCTGTGGAAGGAAAATAATTGATGTGAGACATCTTGCAAAGTGACTAATATTTAGAACCAACCAAAAATATCCTCCTAAGAGGTGACTAACATTAAGGAACAAAGTAGTGTTTGCTTTATCTATAATGAGGATCACTTTGTGTTTACAAATATCAGTTTCATGCTTGGTTTTGCAATCAATAAAAATAAACCTACTGTTCCACCGAGCCAAGCTCATCATGTGCCTTATTCATGGCTCTCCTCACAAAACACTATTCACAAGCTGCTTATAAATTGTATGGAATAAAATATTCGCATGTTAGGCTGCGTTTTAGCTGGCTCCATGTCATTAAATGTATTCAGCTGATGAGTGAGCATTTAAAATTCAAAATCCTGCTCAGTTCCTGCCGAAACCATTATCCCTTTATTCACACAAAGAATGTTGCATTTACTTTCAGTGGAAGATTGGGAGGTTCTCATGACAATTCGTTCACTCTAGTCGGAGGCGATGGAGAAGAAGATGAAGTGGTAGACGTTTCCAAATTTAATTAATGTGGCATGCGTTTTTCCTTGCACACCATTTTGTTATATTCTGTTTTTGAGTTAAGTTCAACCATTAAATGCAAGGTGGTGGGTGGTTCGTTCAACCTTCTACTATCACATCAAGGAGAGATGCGTATTCTAATGTTTGTAATCTTCCTTCATTCTTCCTTTCGTTTCTGGTTTTTTCCCCTTCTTGCTCCATTTTTATTTCCTTCCGCTGATTTCACTTTTCTTTATTGTTCTTGGATTTTTTTTTTTTCCCACCTTTCTTTTGCAGCTTATCAATGAAAGAAGAGAACAGAAAGCATGTGTTCTGTCTTTGTTTTCACCTTATTTGCTTGAGGCAGCTCTGCTATAGTGTTAAATGGAAAATCTATTTGACTTTATTTTTCCTTTAATCTGCATGCGTCAAACATGTTGAAGTGTATATTATTTGTTTTTGACTTCTTCTTTTGTGCCAGGCATGTGGGTTTCTGCCTTGAAGGTTAACAAAGTGAGGGATGTGTACTGCAAGGAGGTGACCTAAGTATGGAAGGTAGTATTCCTTATGTGTTCTTCATTTTTGATACATTTTCAGTGTTGCATGATAATCCAATTCCTGTTCTCTCTAACCATCTCAGAAACATGAGAAAAGTCACCTGTATGCTGCATGGTGAGTGTGGGGAGTCTACATTGCGAGGATTACAGGCTGTTCCTAACAGGGACAACAAAAGTGTGTCGTTATTCAGTATGCTCATTCATATGTCATGGACGCTTTGGTATTTTTGTTGCATGAACTTCAAGTTGTTTGCTTAATTTGGGACTTATCCTTAATTTTTTTTTTTAATTTTTTTTTAGGTAGCCCATGTTTCCCCTTTGCTTGGTTTATAAACTTTGATGTTATACTATTATATGAACTTATCTTCATAAGGATTCTGCAATTTCCATTTACCTCAATTGTTATATTAATCACAATGCTTCTGCAAGTGGTTGAGGTGATATGATGGTTGCTGTAAGATATATTCCTTTAAATGCTTAAATGCAATCCCTGTCATAAAAGTATTGTTAACTGGAGCAATATAGATCTTGTCAGCATCTTTTTCTCATATTGAAGAATGAAGATGCAGGGTGCGGGCACCATGATTGGATGAAGTGTACTCACCTCTAAATGCAATACTTCCTTTTGAGAATTTTGACAATGGACATTTTCCTGTAATTCATTAAATATTTACTTTTACATTGTGTAAATTTTTTATCGCTCTGTTTACTTGTACGAACAGTTGGAAGATTAAAAGATGTCCATTTCGAGAAGGGACATTTTCATGTAAATTTTTTCGAATATCCACTTATAAAACTCAGTCCTTTTCAATACCTCTCATGGTTTAATGAGGGTTTTTGGGTTTATTTGTCTCTTAATAAATTAAAATAATGATTAAATCCGTTCTGAAAATCAAATCCCATTGACTAAATTATAATAGCCAGGAGTTGAACCTGCATAGATGGTACAATAAACTATTGTTTTATATGGATAATCTGTTAATGTATGAGCCTGGACGATGCAGGGACATACTTCTCTTCCATTTAGGTTCATATTATATTGCTTTCTACCGTTGAAACATGGTTAAGGTCACCTCTCTTCCATTTAGGTTCATATTATATTGCTTTCTACCGTTGAAACATGGTTAAGGTCACCTATTATCTAAATTTCACATAAAAGTATTTTTTTCTTTTTGGTATAATTTTCTCATCACTTTATTTCTGCAGAGCTTATAAGGGAATAGTAAACTATACACTTTTTATGCTCACCTTTTAATATATATTGTTATGGTTTGTTTCTGATGTGTTTCCATATGCATGTGATTAGTGTTCTCTTACTTTATCATAGTAATGAACATGCTGTATATCTTCTACTAAAAGTGGAGGCATTTAAACTCTCTTATCTAAATACATAACATTCAAACGTTATTTATCCCTTCATATTTGGTCTTTCTTTTGTTCCTGAACTCATCACGCTGAAATATCTCATCTGTTGTCCATAGTCAAAATTCAGGAAGGTTTTTCTTTTTCTCTTTTGCAGTTAAAGTCGACAATGCTAACTGCTTTGTTTTTGGATACATTATTAATGACTTATAATATAACATATTATGAGGTTACTCTTCCTATTCTCTCTATTCTTAATTAATCATGCATCAGCTTTTGAACATTGGAGTTGCAGATACATAGAAGAGGAAAATATGCTGAATCATATTGCTGATACGTTTTGATTCTCCACTTTGACAGTGTTGAAGTTGGATCAGTCGTTGTCAATACAGCTATATAAAAACTTGGACGACCGAACGAATCATGTGTTAACAGTGATCACTACGCAGTTTTTATGTTTCCCCCAAGCTTATTGTTAGCAGGTGTCAAAAAGATGTTAGTTGAAAATGTAGCAATTGCAGTATCCCCATATACACATGTTTCGCCGTGTCAGCCCATTATGCTTCAATACACGCATTTAATTCCCTTGCACAGGTTCACTGTAAATTATGATTCCATATGAATATAAATGTGTTGATATAATCAAGTTGACTCCTTTTGCTTGCATGCAGAGATACACTGGGATTTTTCGGGGCTGATGAATGCATCTTATATGAAATGTCATAAGCTCCTTGAGTGGTATTGTTACCACATGAATACCATTTAGTACTTATTAATGGGTATAAGTCAAAAAATTACACGACACAAGTACATAAGCCTATGAAAAGGATCATAAATATAATTTAGTATTGATATTTCTTAAGTCACATAGAATAGGAATAATACATGGATCTGTTACATAATGATTCTTTTCAGCATGATAGGATTGACCTTGATTATCTCTATTGCTGATAGAGCTATGGATCAAATATGAATGATTTGTATATGTATCAGGAGTCTGCCCAAAAATTATTGAATATAAAGCTGATAGAGCAATCATTTCTGTTGCGTTATGGTTCGGAGGTAGTTATTTAGATGTTCTGCATTTAGTTCCCAATGACTCATGTTCAGTTTATTTAAGATTTAGGATATATGTCGCTGTTGTTATCAGTGTATTTTGTTCCTTTATTAATGAATTATCTTTATGTTTGAATGGTATTGTCATTCTTTATTTGATGTAAAATTTGTATGTAATTCTAATTATTAATCAAAAAAATATGGCCAAAATTATACATGTAAATGTTGGTATATCTTAGAAAATTAGCTTCATAACAGCATATTAAATGATTATATCCAATTATGACCCTCAAGATATCCATTTATAAAGGATCCCAGGGTTGGTCAAATATTAGACTAAAGAACTAAAACTAAACATCTTTTCGCTCGCCCTCAATATATTCTGCTATGTATGAAACCCATGTATTAGAAAGGAATGGTGATCAGAAGCCACCGAATAAATAGGTTTCAATACTTACAGGTTGAAATTGTTTCTCATCTCAGGTTTATGTTATGTTTGTCCAGTTGATGCAGACTTACAGGAAAAAAAAAAGAAACGGAATGTGTGTGTGTGTGTGTGTGTGAACTGAATGATATGAGAGTGTGAAATAAAGACAAGGAATAAGGCTTAGATTTAACCAAAGTTCCAAATTAACAGAGCGGGGCGGGGGGGATCGTGGGTGTATAACAAAAAGGATGTGGAGGAAAATTTGATACATTTCCTCCCTCCTTAAATATAATACTCTCTCTCTCTCTTTGAATTTTAACATCAAGGACATTGTGAGTACCTACTTCCTACTAATTGCAGTTTCAGGTTTGTCACACTCACAACCTGTGCTTGTTATTGTCATGATGACATCATCATCAACATCTATTGTAGAACTAAACATCAAATCTTACATTCGGGAATATAAGGAGGATGAGTTTTACAATAGGAAAGCACATTTTGTAGGCTTTTGTATTATCATATGCAATGAATGGGATTAGCTAGCAATAATTAGGACTTGGACCATGAGAAGGGGGCTGATGGGCTATATGCTTACTAAATGGGCTTATGAGAAGTGGGTGCACAAGAAGAGGTGAACATAAAGTTAATTACATAAACACAACTAAAGATAACAATTGAACTTATGGATAACAATAAATTGTGAGAAAAAGGCCAAAGGATGCCATTCCAAGTATTAGCAAATCTTTGATATTCACGTCCCCCTGATATCCAAACTGATATCAGTTCTGTGAAAACAAGCATGGCTTGACGCCAGATCTCCACAGGATAGCTAGTAACACTTGCCAAAACTTGAGCATTTCAGATCGGAAGATGATGCCATGCTGTTGAATCATCTTTTAACATGTTGGAAGAAGAGAGAGAGAAGACAGAGTGAGCAAAGCTCAACAATACAAGTCATAACCCATAAAGCCAAACTTTGTTCATTTTCATCTCCTCTGCTCATGTCACTTATTACTTGAGCTCATTATTACTGTCTTCAAAGTATGTCATTTCTATAACATCTCAAATTTTCTGACTTAGGAAAAAAAAAAAAGAAAATGTATTTAAAATTATTTAGAGCCTAAATAAAAATGGGGGAAATTGTATAATATTAATTTTGAGGGCTTGAAAATTTTATGAAAAATTTTATTTTCCCGAAAATGACTTAAATAATTTTAAAGTTAATTTTTGGGGCAGAAATAGCTTGTTTTTCTAGAAATTTTAAGGAAAAATAGTCAGAGGTTTATATTTGAGCCAAAAATTTTAGGATAATTATTTCATGAAGTAAAGAAACTAATTGAGGGATAAAACCCTTAAAATGAGCTAAGGATTAATTTCTGAAATTAAGTGTTATTTTCTTGAAAAATTCAAGAAAAATAGTTGGGACTTCATTTTTGACCCAAAATTTTTATTAAAATTATTTTATGCCTCAAAGAGACTAATGGAGAAGGAAAATCCCCACAAAACATTGTGGCAGAATTTCTGGATATATTTATATTTCAGAAAAATAGGAGAACGGGTGGAAATGGAAGAAAAGAAAGAAATAATTGGCATAAAAGTCATTTCCCTTACTCCTACAAATGCCACACGTGTTCTCTCGTATGATAACCCATCAGAAGCCATTTCCCTCTTCATTTTTCAGCTGCAATCGGAGAGAAAGTCAAGAGAAAGAGAGCTTGAGAACCAGAGAAGAGCAACACCGGACAAGTGATCGGAGAAGGACTTTGGTGCATGCAACCATTGTTTCAGACCAAGGTAGGTCTGAATATCACTCACACGCTTCTTTCTTCTATTCTACACGCTGTTGAAGAGTTGAAGATAGATAAAAGTTTTTAGTTATGGAGGAAAATGGGTGTCTTAATGAATTAAGGGTAGCTGATCGTTGATGGATGCATGGTCGGGTGAGTTGTGATGTTGCATGTTGTCAATGATTTCTGCATGTTGAGGACCGACTGGTTGTGACCCTGAAACAGGGGCTTCATGTTTCGAATTATATGGTTTTGGGTTACTGCAATCTTTTGTTGCATGTTGCTTAATTGTTTAGAGATATTCACTGTCAAAGCTTCGTTAAAAGTTTCAGAGAGTGGTGCTGGATGCTCTGAATTTTCGAAGGAGGGAATCTAGCTTAAAATTTCTGGTTGCATGTGGATTTTCTTCCTCTGTTTTCCAAGGCTGAAACAGGGATTAATGGTTCAAGGAAATGGCTCTAGCTTAATGAGAAAATGAAGAGCATAAATGTGTGTATATGACCGAAAGCTTGGGTGTGCAGTGTTGGGGATTTAAATTAATGTGTATATGTCTACGTTGTTGATGGCGTGAGGTGTGATTCTGGAATTGCAATTTTCAGAATTACAATGGTTGTTGTTTTGCATGTCCTTAGCTTCAGGTTCTTGGTTTTTGTGGTTATAGGATTCGGTCTCTATGAGGGTAGAAGAGAATGAGGTAGTAACGTGGAGTATATGTGTGTATATATGTGTGTCCGAATGGTTCAGTGAAGGGGGGGTTGTTA